GTGCAAACATTTCAAACTTGAAATGATTAATTTTAGAGTCAAAATGTATTTAAGTACAAAAATAGTCAACAGCGCTTCAAAGTGGTTTCTAATAGAGCTGCTGAGGAAATGACTGTAAATGTAACTTTTCTGTTTTCTGACTACTGTAAGTTTTTTGCTATTGGAGCAAATCGCTTTCAAGTGGTATTTGCTTGTAATTTATATCAGATTCATTGAACGTTGAGATTTCAATCACTGTATTTTGTAAGTATTGGCTTGGAATCCTGTCTTATTTATTTGATGATTGAATTAACTCCAAAACATTGCAACTAGCAGCCAATTATATATAATGACTTGAAGAATTATTATAGTTTATAATAAACATGAAAAGCTCGGAAGTGCTGGAAGCATGCTTGAATTTAACTCTTTAAAAAAATCTGTATGAGCCCGCAAATAACATCTTTTTAAGAAAAGGTAATTTGCTGGATCAGAACCACACCAGTGAAGAAATGTGCTGGGGTCCCAAAATCTGTAATAATCAAAGACAAAAATGAAAAATGTCACTTTAATAACATGATGGCATGATAAAAGTGGGCGTCACTTTACTTAAGTATCCATAACCTTATAAACAGAAAAAGATTTCACTCTTAAATTTTTTAGTTCTGAATGGAAATGTGAATAGAGTTGTTTCTCTCTCAGGCCAGCAGAGACCAAACCCGTCCGTCCCAGCAGAAAGAGACAAGCACCAGAGGACTTTTTGGGGAAGGGCCCAGATCGCAAAATCCTCATGGGAAAGTAAGATAGTAATTGATTGCTGTGTAACAGAGGTGAAGTCTTCGATTCAGATCTTATCTTGCATTTCTGCTGTTCTTGACCATCAACAGTGAGGAACTCACGAGGCTCTGGAATCTAAACCCTGACAACATGGAGGCCTGCAAGTCAGATAGCAGGTTTGTGTTTGGCAAACGCTTGCTCACAGATGCTTTATGCGAGAAATGTTGCATTAATACATGTCTCGATTTAAAGGGAGTTCATGCCATCACTGGAGGAATTTTTTGTAGAAGCTATCGAGCAGGCAGATCCAACTAACATGGTGGAGGATGAGTACAAGTACAGAGATTTACTAATTCAGTCTCCTAAATGATCAAACTATGCATCACAATAGATCAGAATAAATGAATTCTTTGTCGTCATTTCTCAGAGTTGTGCATAACTCAAACTACGGCTGGCGAGCCTTGCGATTGCTCTCCAGAAGGAGTCCTCACTTCTTCCAGCCCACCAACCAGCAGTTCAAGAGTCTGGCAGACTATCTGGAAAACATGGTCATCAAACTGGCCAAAGAGCTTCCTGTGAGTGGACATCCACATTATCAACCACTACAGAGTTTTCTAGAATGTACTGTAGATGACATTCAGGCTTTTCAGTGGCTGATATAATAGTGGCGTCAACAGATATTGGCAGCCTTGGTAAATATGAGCAAAACAGGCCATGGGAAAAATCTTTTGGTCTTCCATTAAAAATATTCACAGAAATCTAATTATTAAAATAACTGAAGCATATTAGTTTTAAATCTATGCGTTCCACAATTATTGGCACCCCTCACCACACTTTAAAAAAAAATTTTTGTAAAAAGCAAGCTTTTTTTTTTTTTTTGGGCAGCGATGCATTAGAACCATTTTAGGTTCAGTTCTTAAAAGAGCAATTTTTTTCCTTTTAATAATCTAAAGAAGCCTTTCCCACTGTAAAGTACTTTTTGTGTAATGGAAAAGTTCCATGGATGTCAAAAGTTCTTCATGGAACCATAGATGCCAATAAAACCTTTGTGTGTAATTTTATTTTAAAGGTTAGGTTTTTCTAACTTTCTGAATGGAGGAGAAATAACAAAACAGTTTTTTGTTAATCCATTTTGTTCATATTTACCAAAGGTGGCAACATTAGTGGAGGATGGTGTAAATATAATGTAATTTAAATGACAAAATTCACTCAAATATTCTGCTCACTATTTTACTCAGATGTTCAATATTTTAAGCAATGGTTTAAAATCCGAAAACTTAACTTTATCTATGTTTCTCTTCAAACAGAAGGACCTTCCTTCTGAGGAGATAAAAACAGGAGAGGAGGATGATGATGAGAATGGAGATAACCTGTTAAAAGACAGCAATGACAGTGAGTTTGGCCTTTATTTTTAATGAAAAATCAAAAGCCATTTTAATTACTATTGCCCTGCCTGCTGGATTCTGTTCACACTGTATTTTGTGGATCAGAACGGCAGTACGTTTGCATCAAAGTGGCGGCATTTGCTTTGAAGATGACTTTGTACTTTCGGTTTTGTTTCCGAAGCATCATAACAGAATGACGCCTTCATCTATCTGCCGTGAATGTAGGATAAAAGTTTCAAAGACAACAGAATTCATTTTAGCTTGAGGCGAGCAGAGAAAATAGGGAAAATGTTCAGCTGCCACAGCCACATAGCACATACGGAGGTAGTCACTAGTGGATTGTAATTATTTTAGGATGTGTTGTTAGAGAGCTAGACGAAATAAGGGATTTAAACCAGTGTTACCCCAAAGTATATATTATTATGATAAGTCACGTGACCATGACAACATGGGGAATGTACTACATAGAACTTACTTTTTTTTAATGTTCTCAAAGTAATCGTATACTCTGAGTAGGTACCACTTTTAAGTGTGCAATTTCTGACAGACATCCAAAATGTGGACGAAAGGTTTGGGAAACACTGGTTTAAACTTTACTGGCTAGGCACAAAAAGCAGCAATTACAGTCAAGCGCAGCATCGGCAGCCACAGAAGCATGACGACGTGTTGGGTTTCACAGCATTGTTTGAAGTAGCAGTCAGATGTGATCACCAAAAATATTTAGAACATAGATCATCCGGATGCCTTCTCCAATTATTTTAATGGTCTGCCAGCAGAAGACATGTTGCCTTACACTAATAAGCTAATCTTATTAAAGGTGCAATAGGAGATCTTGGAAAATGCTAACTTTAGCCTGATAGCACTGAAAGCGAATGTCCCACTCTCCTGGCCTATGATGCCTTAGTGTTGTCAATGTTTATAACATTAGATTCTGGATCTAAGCTAGCATAAGAGCGTGGCAAAGCTCGTTTGATAACCAAGTGAACTTTTTTTTTCCCCCCCCAGGTCCCAGCATTCAGAGCAAGGCGGTGACCAACAGTCAGATGGATGAGATCGCGGCCAAGCTTGGGTCCAAGTGGAAGACTGTGGCAGACCATCTGGAGATGAGCGAGAAGGAGATCCGCGTGATCGAGTCTGACAGCGAGGATGTAGAACTGCAGGCCAAGATGCTGCTGGTGGCCTGGCAGGACCGAGAAGGCCCTCAAGCTACGATGGAGAGCCTGGTCACAGCTCTGAACTCGGCTGGTTTCAGTAACATCTCGGAAGGTCTCAGCGAAACATAACTCCACATCAGCAACATTTCCTTGTTTGGTTTTAAATTGACTGTATGCTTTTGCTGTACTTCAATGAAATGCATTCTTTACATTCTTGAAATAAATGTTCATTTGAAATGGATCAGATCGTTTTGTTTGTAAAATACACACAAGACTGTCAATGGCATGTTTATTTCACCGTTTATGAAGAGCCAGTAGTCAATAACATATTACAGAGCTCAAGTTTTCTTACTCTGATTTGAGTATTTAAAGACAGATGAGTTTACAGTGACAGAAGCAGTAGTTGAGCATAAAGACATCCTCTCAAAGTGCTTTGATATGAAATTCACACACGCACACAGCATAGTAAACAATTTGCGTTTCTTATGAGATCCTAGTATTATACCTCTTGATGCATTTGTAAGTCTGAAACTTGTGGCCAAGAACAAATTTATATACCAAGTCACCTGCGGTGGGATACTGTCTATTGAGCATGAACACCTTTTCACAAGGCTTAAAAAAAAAAAAAATATTCAATGCATATAGAAAACATTTATAAAACCACTGCTCCAAATCCAAACAAGGATCGCGAGTCAAGCAATCTATCATCCAAAAAAAGCACCCTTAAAAATGCCACTTGTGTTGATGCATGAAGAGTTCAGGAAATATTAAGGTCATGTTTTTAAAGACACCAAAATTTATTTGCACATCTATACAGACAGTGCTCTGAAATGGCAATTATGGTTTAAGTCTCCTCTGAACCATTGTTACTCCAGTATCTCCAGACGTCGAGGGCCATACAGAAGGACGTATGCTATATGCCAATCACCACCACCAGACAGCTTCAAGATGTCCTCAGGGGTCACAACGCTGACCTTATCATCGTCAAACTTCACCCATTCATCTGTTCAGAGAGAGGTGGGGGGTCAACATCAGCTAGAATAGGAAAACACCCTACAGCATGTGTGTCCAATCCTAAAAACACCTGCACCAGCTAATCAAGGAAACTTCCAGGAAAGTGTGTCGGGCAGTTTGGAGGTAAACTGTGCAGGACTTGGCCCTCCAGCAACAGGATTGGACTCACAAACTGCATCAGAAGCAATAAACGGCGACGCTGTCCAAAAAAAAGCAGCTTGAGTTCTAGATTTTTTATCTTTTCACTCAACTCACAATGCGATACGTTTCCCACTACTGATTTCATGATAGGATTCTCATGTTTTTTTTTTTAAATCAAAACTGAAATGTCAAAAAACTAAACTGAAAATGTTGAAACAAATCCCAAATCAAATAAATGAAGAAATCTCTTCATATTAACAAAGGCTTTGCCTGTGCTCTTTCCTTTTAAAATTAGAGGCGACCGCTGGATTTTAATCACAATTCAAACAAAGATGCCGCATGCTGCTTGAGCAGTTTTTAACCTAAATTAGACTGCGTAATTTCGAAGTTTGAAGCAAAAACAGAATGGTCTGACTAGCTTTGTGAAACTACACTACATAAAACATCGGAACGAAACAAAAACAGCAGACGGGCTGCATGAGAATGCAAATTCACTCTCTGACAGCAGGTGGCGCCAATAAACTACTTTATTATGCACTATATGGAGATAAAAGTCAATGGGGACCAGCAACTGAAGGTGAACTATCCCTTTAATGCATGGGGACCATGAACGTCGCTCTGGCGTTTGAGAGACATTGACAATACTTGACCTTCTTTCCTTTTAACCCAGGCGACATAGTGGCCAGATGAACTGGATCGCCCCTGATGTGTCAGAACCGCTTGCAGGTCGTAGTAACCACTGTTGCTGGAGCCCAAGTCTATAGAGAAGACAAAGTTATGAGTTTATAAATCCACCCGCAGAGTAAACTTTCAGAACCATGTTTGAAATGGAAAAGAGCTTTGCAGCAAGCATTTACCTTCAGAAAAACAGAAAGGTTCGTATTTTGTTTCCTTTGGAGCCCCAACCTTCAGATTCTCCTGTTGAATGAGAAATAAAATGATTTGACGGGCAGTTTCTCTAAATGCATGAAGCGTTCAGTTTGACATCACAGGGCACTTGCTTTCGGCTGCTGCTGCATCTCCAGTTTCTTGTCTTCAACCACCTTGAACTTTGACCTCACAGAAACCATCTTCTCCTGCAGTTCAGCAGTGCACAGCTCATAGACGTCCAGCATAAGAGGAAATTTGACATCCTAAACGCAGCAAAATTAAAATGCACACAAAATAACAAATCAATACAACAAATCAAGACTTCATAGGCTGACTCACTCCAGAGCAAATGACCTACCTTAAGGACTTTGGCATTCACAGACTCTTTTTCTTTGTAAAAGAACCGGACCATCTGAACCGTGAGGTATGCCGGGAGACGGCTGATTTTGGACTTAAATGCAGTAACATAACAAGTGACTGTTCATTTCATTGTTGAACGAAAGAGAAAACACTTGAACAAAAGAGCATTTCTCCAAAGATGCCACAAAAGTCAGAAGATAAAGCATACCGATTTGATATAGAGGGCGTTTCTTTTCAAGGATGGGGAGAACTTTGTAATGTCCTCCTGTAGCCTCTAGATACAATGAGGAAAAGATAAAGATGAACAGGGACTGTGAGCTCTGGTGGTACTTCCAGCTGTTTGTATGGGACGTCCCACTCACCAATCTGAGTCCAGTGGCGAGATATTTGACTTCTGTATTGATGAAGCAGCTAAGCTGCAGCTGGCTCTCTGTGCCTTTAGTTGGATCCTCATCCTCTGACTCGGTGCACTTCATACTGGACACATACAGGTCAAGGACCTTCAAATATTACACACGTTCATATGGAACTGGAGAAAACTCAGGTTCAACTGCATGAAGTATTGCAAACCTCTCAATATACATGTAGTATGGCAGTGTCCAATCCAAACAATGCAGTGAATTCAAAAGAGAAAAGTAAACAAATAGTCAGATGCATTGTAGAACTTAGGTCATATCCTCGGACAACTTTAATTTAATGCACCGCATCTCACTTACTGGAAGCGCAAAATAT